ACAGGATAATGAAGGGTTATTGCGCAATGTAAGATACAAATGTATCGATATACACACAGAGCCAGCTAAGCATTCTACGAACGATCGAACTGTCGAACGAGAAAAAAGACAGACTGGTTGACTTTTATACCGTTTCGGACAATATTTGGAACGTTCCAGAATGTACTATTATCAAATTATTACATTACGAATGTAACAGATCAGTACAATCCTAAAAGCAACTTGACAAAATTAATAAATATTGAAATAATAGCAATAGTAACAGTGATAGTAATAGTAATAGTAATAGTAATAGTAATAGTAATAGTAATAGTAATAGTAATAGTAGTAGCGATAGTGGTAGTAGTAGTAATAATAATAATAATAATAACAACAACAACAATAAAAACAACAAAATAAAATAACAATAAAAGAAAATGAGAATCACCAAAGAGAAAGTGATTTCAATAAACACGAGAATTCGAAAGAGCTTTCTCGTTCCAACATTTCGAACGATCGAGTCAGTTAACACGATTTACCCACGACTCGTTATCGATTACGATTGATATTGTTTCTCGGTCCAGCCACGCGTCCACGCAGCCAAGGTCATGATAGTTCCCAATCTATTTTATCTCTAACTTACCAATTGCATTCTTACAAATCGAACCAAGTTACACTCGACCAAGTTTCAGATTTAGAACGACACGATCCGCGTAACGCGTGATGGCATCAACTAACGATTCGTAACGGCAAAATATTGAAAAACATACGCGAATGTTTCGAAATTATAATTAATAGTATAGTTGGGAATAGAACAAGTACCTCGACTTTAGGACGGTAGGTCCAAACAATCGCCTGCCTTCAGGCAAGGGACCGATAAGGTCCAACAGCGGTCAGAGCTGTGATTGGTTGAAACAATATGTGGCTGTCGCCCGCCATTCTGGGACAAGATTTATTAATTTTAATCTGTCATTTTCAACTGGAACAATGGAAAGAAGAAGAAAAAAAAAAAGAAAAAGAAGAACAAAATCAACTACACTGAATTTGTTTCATTGTAGGACCGCACATATAGTAGGATAATACAAAACTCATATTCATTGAAAGGAATAACGTACAATGCATATATTACGTTTTGTTCTAAGTTAAAAGTTGAAAAGAGGAGATAGTTCCCAGAACGACAGACTATGCCTAATCTTTCGAACTTTCCACAGAACGTCTTTATTCGGAACAAGTTGATAATGTGACACTCAATAAATAACAGAACTTCTACATGTCCAATTCTGTCGTCAGATTGTCCTGCCGAATCTCGCGAGAATCAGAACGAAAGTAAAGCGCGCAGTCGAGAAACAATGTCTTTGCGCGTACAAGTTAAATACATAGCCCCGAGTGACGAGAAGCGACTTCTCGAGGCTGACTGACTGCTTCTTCTGTGTCAACAGTGAATTCTATCAGCCTTAAAAAGTGAAAAGTAGACACGGTTGCACGAATCACCTCTGATTCCGATGACAACGACAGCAGAGCGGAAAGACACGATTCGGAAAGACAACCCCTGAAAATGAAGTATATTCATAACGTAGTTCATTTAGGTACGTACACGTGTTGTACGGGCGCGGTAATGCTGTTTCATAATTTTTGTTCTCGTTAGAAGTAACGATAGAAGTCGAGAGAAAGAATAGACAAACAGGGTGCCTACTGAGGTGGTGAACCTTCAGGAAGTGAAAAAAAGAAATTTAGGCGAATTCGTATTTTCACAGTCACACCAGCTGAGTTACAATCAATTTTATACAATAATTTATATAATCTCTATTAACGTCAACATACAGTAAGGAGACAATATCTCTCTCATGGCTATAGTTTGCAGCCTCTTCTTGCACCGTCTTCGCCACACTTTCGCAATAAGTTTACGTGCCCGATTTCCGTTTCTCTGAAAGCATGAAACGTATGAAAAGTTCAAGCTTTGGCGATTAAAATCTCCGTGGATAAAGATCCAATCACCGTCAACCTACGATACTAAATTATTTCCAAAAAATATCGTAGTTGTTTTCTCGTCTCGTAATTTATCGCAGGTGATTTGTTGTTATAAAGATATCGATGTATTAACTTAAGTATATATGTGTATATATGTCTACTGTGAGATAGTTTTGCGTAGAGAACATGGTTTCGTTTTCCTATCAATAGACACCCTGAAGAAATAACAATGATAAAAAAAAAAAAA